TTCTCTACCATAGTAAACATGGATATAACACATGCAAATAAAAGTTTCTTTTGGTCCCCACTAATATTTAAGATTATAAAGGGAACGAGATTGAAGTCAGGTCACGATGGCAGGAACAGGGTGGCATGTGGCACTAAAATCCAACTAAAATTCTGTGTTTGGAACAATGAATTTTAGTCTACTTCCTAACTCAGCTCCCAGACTGTGTGGCCTACCAGTCTGTATTGTCCTGGAAAGGACTAAGAGCTATTAGCTTGGGAAGCTGACTGCTCAAAGAAGATTCACCAAGGCTAAACGCTCTGACTCTTCAAGGTCTTCATTCAGAAGTTCCTAAATGAAGGACTTCCAGTCACCTTTTAAGTCCCTTCACTAGTAAATGTGAGTGTCCAAAGACATAATTGAGGAAAATTTGGAACATTAAAACACAGAATAGAATCACTAGTACAAAGAGACTCAACACTAAGGAAAACATTTTACATCAGTAAAACAAGACCTAGGTCCACAGAAAACAAGACACTTCATTAGACAATTATGTGGCATCCCTGAGTCCAAGGGGTGGAGTCTGCATATTTTTGGTAGTGTATAATCTAAGAACAAAGCAGGTCCTAGATGACTGAAGGCAAAGCCTCTCATATGATTGGATTTCTTTTGCCACAATGTCACACCCATCATCTTTCTTAAACACTGCATACTCTCGGTTTATAGGGTGGTGTAAACCTTTTATCCTATTCTGAGGAACTGCCACACATCAAGTTACATCAAATGGACAGGAGACTTCTATAAACTTGCTCAGGCGGTTTGCAAGGTGTGAACAGATGGTGTCCCACATTAAAATCAGGATGCCCACAATGCCCTCTCTCATGAAGAAATGTGCTCAGGATGTGGTTCCCACACTCACACCATCAGCATCTCCTAGGCATTGATGAAAATAACTTAGGCCTACTCCAGGGTATCTACTCCAGAGACTCTGGCAATATGACCCAGAGATCTGCTTAGCTACATATAGTTGCCTTGTGATGCATAGGAAAATCTGAAAGTCTCTCCCAAAAATAAACCTGAAACTGTGAGAGAAAGGAATGCAAACTTATTTAGCATAGGTGAGCTGCTATTTCTGTATGTCCTGCAGAAGAAATAACGAAACAAGGCCATCCTTTAACATGCACCTATGTGAGAAGTTTCCCTGCACAGAAGAAATAACACTACAAGGCCATCCTTTCACATTCATTCCTGTGAGAAGATTTCCTGTACCTACCAGTTTTGTCTGGCTCTGGAACAGCTAAAGCAAGATAGCAGTTACATACAGTCCTATGTACCATTTGTTGCCAAACTGATGCATAAGTGATCTGAGGTTCCATCTCCCTCTACTGAAAAACAAAACAGAAGCATGTGTTATAATCTCGAAATATGAAGGATCTTACTGAGAATTACTCAGGATTTATGTGTGCTACCACAACTAGGATTTCTGTACTTGAAAAATTCCTAAAGTAGCTGGCAACAAGGTGCTCCAGAGCTGAGAGAAGAAAATGGCAACTTCAGCGACTGCTTGGACCACAGAATGAGTCTGAGGCCACCATGGTTCCCTTGAGATGATGCCTCAAAACAAACAAAACAGCAAAAAGAGGGGTATGCCTCAGGGGCAGAGTTACTGGCCTGAATGTGCAAAGCCCCAGGATCAATCTCTCATAGTGGGAAAAAAATACAAAACAAAAAGGTGTGCTGAAAAGTCACAAATTGAAAAAAAAGAAAAAATAGACAAGTTACACAGCTTCATTAATGCACCAACTAAAAACATCTTACCATAATCACTTAATAGATCTCCATGTATACATTCTTCTCCTTTTACTATATTCTATATAGTTAGAACTAAAAATGGCTAATTATCACAATTCCATCTTCAAAACAGAATCTTTATCATGAAGGTGTTCATGATAGTAATAGTAAAACTCTGTACACTTTTAAATGATTTCTTTTAATGGATGTGTATGTGCCTGTGGATGTACACATATGTGCAGGTACTCACAGAGACCAGACGAGGGTGCCAGATCCCCTGGAGCTGGAGTTACAGGCAGCTGTGAGCTGTGATCCAAACTCTGATCCTCTAGAAGAGAAACAAGTGCTCTTAACGGTTGAGCCATCTCTCTAGGCCCTGGATTAGTTAATAATCAAAAACTGGAAGACTGAGACTTTCAATCAAAGGAGATATGGAAAGTCATTCTATCCTAGGCCAAGACAGGTGGTAGTGGCACAATTAAGAGGTGACCCCTTTTTGCAGAGGTTCAGTAGCAAAATCAAACCTGTGCTATGCCACTGGTTTTTAGTTTCCTTTGAAAACTATAACCACATCAAGAAGATAAATTTTACTTGTAGTGCACAAAATTATGTTTTCTAATATTTGTCTGAACAGTATGATTTTTTCCTTGAATGACCTTCAATATTTGGGTTTAGTTTGGGGAAGAATAATTTAATGTTTGGTTCATCTAGTGCCTGTGACTCACTGTGTGCTAAGAGCACTAGGAGATGAGGAGGAAGACGAACATCCAGTTCTTTGAAAAAACTCTTATGGAGAAAAAACAAAGAAGGCTAAAAATACAGACAGCTGGAAGGTCAGTGGAAGATGTCATATGCAAAGCAACATGAGCGGTCTTGCTACCAAGAGTATTTTTTAAAAGTCTTCCTGAACCTCTCAGTAGCAAATAGATGACCCTGACTAAACTTAATGGGTCAGGAAACAAGTCAATTCATGAAAGTAGAAAAGGGATTGGGGGAGGGAATTTGACATCCATGGCAGGGAAATACATGTATGAAGTCATCAGACAGCAAACTTAAGTGTCTTCTTGAAGTTTAACTGCATTTCTTCTTTGCCTTCACAGCACTAAGGACTGATTCTGAGACCCCTGTGTGCTGGACCTCATGTATGCTTGGCCACTGGTGTCAAACTCACAATGCAACTAAGAATGACCTTGAACTCCTGATCCTCCTGCATCCATCTCCTAAGTGCTGAGACCATGCTTGTACACCACCACACTGCACTAACTTGGTCTCTTTTTACGAAGACAAGGTCTCAATAAGTTGCAAGGATGATATCGAACCTGTGATCCTCTTGCCTCAGCTTCCCAAATAGCAGACATTACAGACCTGTGGCTCCTGGTACCATATCTAAGTGCTTAAATTATGAACAAAAAGCAGTCAGAAACTCAAACAGGGCAGGAACGTGGAGGCAGGAGCTGATGCAGAGGCCATGGAAAACTGCCACTTATTGGCTTGCTCATCATGGCTTCCTCACCTGCTTTCTTATAGATCTTAGGACTGCTGTTCCAGGGGTGGCACCACCCACAATGGCCTGGGACCTCCCAATTCATCCACCAATTAAGAGAATGCATTACAGGCTTACCTTTGCGTATAACCCCTGAGCTTAGGGAGTCATTTTCTCAATTGAGGTTCCCTCTTCTCTTATGACTTTAGCTTGTGTCAAGTTGACATAAAACTAGGCAGCACAGCTGTGTATCCTCAGAAGCTACCAGAATCATAAGCATGATAGCTAAATGCTATTATGTCTTGAGAAACCCATGCCTAACCTGGGTGTATGTGTTCTGCTATATTTTGGCCTGCTCTGTTTATTTAGTTTTTCAGATATGTCCTTATTATATTTTCCTGATTGGCCAGGAACTCACCATGTAGACCAAGATGGCCTCAAACTTACAGCTAGCTCCCTGCCTCTGCCTTCTAAGTGCTGGGACTACAGGCATGTGCCACCACACTCTGCTCCAACTATGCTTTTCCAGCGCTCCATTTCTCTCTTAACATCCATGCTTAAATCTATGTTAAACCCGTTCTAATAGACCCCAGCATTGCTTCAAAACAACAACAGAAATGAATAAAGCGACTTGCAATTTAAATAGTTACAGTTTGGATATCCAGTTGAACTTCAATACTAGCTTCTACCACAGTGTTGTTGTAAATATTCAGTTAGAGAATAGATACAACTCTTACCACAGTATCTGGAATATGGCAATGCCTCCACTGCCCCCACAATGATATATACCTGCTATTATAGCACAAAATTTAAAGGTTAAAAGAAAAAATCCAGTTTTACAGTACTTACTAACTGTGACAATTCTAAATGTGAATTTAAATAAGTTACAACAGTGCATCAGTAAAAACAAGATATCCCCACTCACTGAAAGAGTATAATCTGTGATGATGTGAGTTATAATTTGGGATATGGGGTAGGCATTATTTTGAAGTCTGAACAAACAGTCATCAAAAAGAGACATCATCACCTATAAAACCCACAGTAAATAATCCATAGAGAAAATTAATATAATGCAAATGAGAAAAATAAGACAATAGTACATAAAATAGTGAAATCTGAATAATACTTTAGAGTTTGTTTTATGTCTAAATGGCTTAAGAGAAAATACACTTCAGTAAGTTTGTTCAATAAATTTTAACTGGCTTAACAATATGCTAGAAATACACTCAAAAGTACCTTGATATGTAATTTATCTGTTACAAAATAATGTGCATGTTAGAAAATGGATTCTTCAAAGAGGAGCATAGGAAGATTTGTCAATCTGAACTCCAACAACCTCTGGGTGTTTATGAAACTCTGTACAGCATTTGTAAAATGTCATGCATATATACATGCTTGTGGTGGTTAAAATCACTATTTTATGAAAAGCTAATAAATTCACCATTCAGAAATGGTAAAGATGGAAAAAAATACTTTATAGCCCAAGTTATCATGTTTGTTAGTTTGGACAGGATTTTTCTATGCAGCGTTAGCTGGCCTGCAACTCACAATGCAGCTGGGCTAACCTCAGGTGACCCTTTTGCCTCTGCCTATTAAGTTTGTGGGTTGTAGCCACAACACACCATGACAAGCTCTATCCAGATTCTCTGGTAATTTTTTTTCTGTAGTATGTTATTTCCATTCTGGACAAATAGTCCACTAAAACAAAGAACCAAAATGAGAAACTTCTTTGAAAACAGTGACTTACTTTTCAAGTGTTCTGCTGTAATTTTTTCATTAACACTGACTGCATTTGAGTCCATTGTGTGACTCTTTTCCTGGACTCCCACAGTTGATAAAATGTTTTTAAAGCAGCCTGTGTTGTTTCCCAAACGATCAGGTAGTCCCCCAGACAAAGCTGCTATGCATATCTCAAACAGAATAGTACTTGGGAAGTTAAGTTTCCCAATAATGACTTTTCTTCTCTGTTTTAAATTTCCAGAATGTAATTTTTCACTAACACAGCTTTTCTTTAAGAGGCGCCTAGAAACATTTCTCTTCTTTGAAGGCTTCTTCTTCTGTAGCTTTTGTTTTACCGTACTATAATTAAAACTTTCTTTTTTGTGCCAGTGTTTGTCCAACAGTGGGCAGATGGGTTGGCTCTGTAGTTTAGATCCAGTGGCAGTAATTCCATGGGGACCAGCGGAATCCTTAGGATGCACGGCAAGACCAGACACTACTAACATATCTGCTACACTGTCGTTCTTGTAAATGACATCCACTTCCGATACTGCTGCAGAGCCATACTCCCTAAACTGAAAAACTAAGCCTGATTTGCATAGGAAATCTTGAAAAAACTGCCTGGCTTCATTATTCCACAATTTCCCTGAAGCAGGCAAGACGCCATACAGGCTGCATGGATAGCTCAGCCTTGGCAAACTCATAATTTTCTCAGGTACAGATTTAAGATTTGTGGCTTCTGAGTGAGGTATATGAACAGAAAGTCCATAGTCAATCAAAACAAGATGTAAAGATTGATCTGAAACTTCAGAAATTTCTGCTCTGTTCCACTGACCTTCCAACTCATTTTTGAATAGGCAACTGGAACCAGGAATCATGCGCTCTGGGGGCAAGACTTGCAAGGGCTCCGGTATGTCAGAAAGCAAGGTAAAGAGGTACTTCATTATATCAAAGAAATCCTCTAATTGCACACAGAAGTCTGAGGGGTCGCTGACAGCAGTGGCGATGCCGCAATACCGCCTACCATTTTGGAGTGGTGCCCAAACAAAAGGCCGGGTTACACATGGTGACAGAAGAATCTGGGGCTCCAGACTGAGAACAGTACCTGAAGATGGCCATTTGTTTTCTTCCACCAGAGATGTAGACACATTTAAATACCTCCAAAGCAACACACCATTGGCCAACATTTCCACTTCCCAAGCGTAGTCTAAATATTTCAGAGAAATGATGCTCATTTGCAAATGAGGAAATACACACACAATGAACTCAAGGGTAGTCTTCTTGGAATGTCTAAACCAAATCCGTTTTTGAGCCATGCCTTGTCTTGAAATATTTCTGATCTGTCTACTAAATACCTTGGTATTATCTACAGGCACTGCTTCATGTTGTCCATGATTTACTAAAAAGCCAAGGACTTTCTCATCCACCCACTGCTCTTCCGTTTGGGATTGGTACCTCTTGAAATTTCTTCTAGATACTGACAAGAATTCTAACCCCCTTTTAATAATATCCATTGATAAAAAAGAGGAATAATCTTCTTTAGGAATTAATCGTGCTAAATCTGATGTTTTCTGATTTTTTGGTAACTTCACATGAAATCCCCCAGTCTCTGAAATGTAAATCATTTTGGATTTTTCAAACTGCCCATGCCTTACCAGTTCAGAAGGAATTTCAACTAGCTGTTGGGAGAGTGGTTTGAAGATCACCAAACCTTCATATGAATTTACTCTTCCTGCCTTCCAGTGGCTGTTTTCACAAAGACTAACTTTGAGAGCGATGACCCGAGGCGTCTGCAATGTCCCCTCCTGTAGTTTAGGACATGGCGACCAGCTCAGCAATTTCTTGATGACACATTTATTACCACAAGTTATATTGACTTCCCATTTCCCGTTGTGCATCTTCAAAAATTCGCAAGAAATTATTCTATTGATTACTCCCAAGGAAAAATATTCTGCAATTTTGCTTTTGCACATTTCAATGGGCCCATTCCATTTTATCCTATGGAGAAAAGAATAAATTCCCAGCTGGGGCATAGTTAAGAGTTCCCTGCTAATTGAATAAACTTTAGAGCCATTTACTATGGCGGTATTACCATGATCAAAAACTTCCACTTCAAAGGGTCCTTTAGGCAACACTTCCTTAGTACTGTCTGTGGACACGGCATGGTTATTAGAGTATTCTACATGATCTCTCACCAGAAGGCTCAGGGAGTTCTGCTTTTTCTGGCCATTTGTTCTCTCATTTAGAACATCCGTGAGTCCTATGGCTTCATTTCCATTCCCAGCAAGTGGAAAATTGGCTAGATGGTGGCTAATGGGTGCAGACCCTTTAACCTGGCTACTCAAGTCAATGTGGGCTTGAGGAACCTTTGTGACTGGAGGTCTATGAAGGATGCATCGAGTTTGGGAAGATGCCTGATTTAAGTCTTTGGTAACTAACTTTGATGCTGTCTCTTGTGATTTGGAGCCCATGCCACTTTCTTCAGGAATGTGTCCAGACCCCAGAATGAGTTTTCCATTTTTATGTTTAAGCCCATACTTAAAGGGCCTCTTCACTTTGCTTTTTGGCGTGGGTTCAACTCCGTAACAAATGGATGGTTTCAAACTCCTGGCATACATGCTTTCTGGGCGCATCAATTGATCTGTTTTCTTTGCAGAATGTTTTGGTAGGCTAGTTTTATTTATTGCTTTGCAGCAACGGTTGCTTTCTGGGTTTTCTTTCGAAGGTGCAGTGAGTGCCTGATTTAACTTAGGATTCTTTTCCACACACCATGCTTGCTCAGAGTGTTTTTCTCCATAAATACTAAGTAGCAATTTTATTGTCTGATTTATATGTTGATACCCATCATATAAGTCTATACCAAGCTGCCCATCTGATTCCCTGGACAGTATCACTGCTTTTAAGGGCTTCCCTAGGAAACTGTCTTCAAACCACCTATTGATTTCTCCTGGAATATCTATATCTCTAAGATCTGACAGAAAACATTGAATTGCTTGCATAGGTGTAAACAGCAGTTCCGGAAACTGATCAGAAATGGCACAAACCATATTTTCTTCTACAAACTGCTCATTCCCATAGTCCACAAAATAAACGCAAGGGTCAGATGATGACTCTGTTGGCTTCACCAAGGCTCTGTATGAGAGCCCATCCTCTATGTATTTAGAAATGCACAGTCTCATTCTGTTCCAGTCATACTTTGCACACATTTTGAGGCTAATCATCTCTGTGATTCTTGTCTCCAACATCTCTAAATCTTTACTGTTTCTACAAAGCTGACAATAGAACTTTTTGGGACTATACACATGAGAGATATACACATCTTCTTCACTTCCAATCTTTATATCAAATGAAGAGTAATAGTAACTGTAAAGACTAACTGAAAATGGGAGTGGCCTTGATAATACACTGTAGTGGGTGGAGCCACGACGAAGGAGAAATTCATTTGCACTGGTAAGTGATGATTGTAAATCCACTAAATTACACAAGCATTTAGGGTGTATAAGAACTAAGGCATACACAATACAAGTTAGTAACCCTCCACGTGAAGAAATGAAATATCCAAAGTCTCTGGAGGCTTCTTCTGTCCAGTCTAATATTTTACATGTAATGGGCTCAACTAAATAGTTGAGACAGCATCTGAAAGCTTGAGCTTCTAAAGCAAGAAAATGTGGGTTGATGGCACAAAGATCTTTAATGAAAACTCGCTCTTGATTGCCATAGTCAACAAATACTAGTTCTACTTCTTGGTCTGATGCTTGAGTCAAGATGGCAGCCCTGTACCACTTCCCATCTCTAGAATGCTTAGCCACACAAGCTACCTTCCCAGTCTGATATGGTTCTGGATGGATGCTATAATAATCTTGAATTTGTTCCATCAGTAATTTCAAATCTCCTGACTTACACAGAAGTTGGCATGAAAAGTCACCTGGACCATGGCAATAAGAACAGTTGACTTCAAGAAGTTTTCCTGGCTTAAATACATATTCCTTATAAGGCTGTGATGAGCTTTGTTCAAAACAAAAGTTGAAAGAAATTTTCAGATCCAGGACCCTATGTAAAGATGAGAGGTTTTCTTTCAGTTTATCAGAATGAGACTTTTCAGGCTTAGGTCTTTTGACAGGGGCAGAGGCCAGAACATTTTTATTATGAAGTGTATCTTCATATTTTAACTTTAACATTGAACAGTCTCCTACAGATTTGGGGAAATCTTCCAATGCTACCTCTGTAGATTCTGCATACCCAGCTTGTAGCATCAGAGAGGCAACATCCATATTTTCAGGGGTTTCAATATTCTGAATACTCACTATGTACTTGTCATCTTTTTTTGCTCTAACTTGAAGCAAAATTGCTTTGTTCAGAACGATTTTTTTAAAATAATCTGTTGCTGCCTGTACCCATAAATCTGTGACAGGAGATATATGTGCCAGTGAACAGTGCATGGCTAAGGGAGGCAAATCACAAAATTCTGGAAGCAAAATTTTTGCATCAAAAAATGGTATGGAGTCAGTACTTCCATAATCCAGAAGGTAAACATTAATCCAATAATCATTCATTGCAGTGATGATGGCTCGGTAGAAACATCTGTCCTTGCTATATCTGGCACAACAGAACAGTCCAGGTTCAGGGTTTCTCAGAGTTAGTTCATCATTTTCAGATGCATTGTAAAATTTATTTATAGTTTTCATTATGTCTTCAAATTTGTTCTGATGCTTACTAATGCGTACCCAGAAATTTGATGGGTTCAATACATTCACTACAAATGCGATGTGGGTAGATTCTATCTCCATTTTTACAGTTTTAATAGGAAACCCTGCTTTTAAGTCATCTTTTTCATTTAGTCCACCCACTGACTGTTCAGTATATCCAATAAAACCTTCAGATGCAAGGCTGCCTGTATCAGAAGTGCCTGTCTCACTCAAGGAATTGGTAATGTTTGATTCAAATGCAGGACAAAGTATTTGTGTTCCCAGTGTCCTCAGAAGACACATGGAATTAACTGCAGATTCTTGAGACTGTAAAGTCACATAATATAGACGTTCATCCTCGCTGAACCAGTCAATATGGGCATACACTACGTGTCCTAACAGGGCTTGCTTAAATATAGTCAGTTGTTGTCTTCTTACTTCTGGGTCTGGACAATGTAAGTACGTCAGAGAACATGGGAATGAAAACAGTGGTGCAAAAATAAAATCCTGTTTCAGTTTCTTCACGTGAATCGAGGGTATAGACTCACTGCTGCCATAATCCATGAACCAAATTTTCACTTGATTATCAGGCAAGAGTTTCTGGAGAATTCCTCTTTGCCACCGTCCATTTGTCCCTTTAGCAACACACAGGAGTCCAAAATTATCACAAGTAGGGCTGGTTTCTTGTCCTACTGTGTTGTAATGCAAATTCATACACTCTGTCAAGTCTTCTAGCTCTGGAATCCGCGTAAGTAGTTGGCAATAAAATTTGCCAGGGCTCAGTGCAGATGACACTTTGACGCTGTCCAAACTTCCTACTGATAAAGATGGCTGGAAATTATCTAGGATATATTGAACATCAAGCGAAGTACTCTTACTACTTAATGATGAGTCCAGTCTTTTATGGTGCAGTAAGTCTGGCATTGGCTGGGGGAGTTCTTTTAATATTTCCACAATAAGACGAAAAGTATCCCTATCAATAAATCTTCCTAATTGTAATTCAAGAACCTCAGAAATCACTTTGGGTGCCTCGAGAAGAATCATTTGAAGAGGCAAAACTGTTTGCATGTTGACTTTCAGCCGTATTCCTACCAGTGACTTGAAATAATGCAAAGCCTTTGGTGACCATTTCTCTCCAACTGGGAGTATGTTGGCAAAAATGCCAAATATGACTCTGGGAGGGAGTTCAAACAACTTTTCACAAGCAGAGGCTACCCGAGTACCATCCACTCTCAGCTCTTCTCCCCGATCAATGAGCAACACTGTGTAGAGTTCGTTCGTCTTCCCCACAACCCTTCCTCTCTGCCATTCTCCAGTCACTTTTTCCTCCACCAGACAAAACTCGTTGACGCCCACGGTATTCTTCACTTTGGGGATATACTGTATTTCCCTCTGCAATATGTGATAGTCAAACTGACACTCACTATTATTTTTGCCTTGAAATTTCACAAGAACATCCTTGGAAAGACACTCAATATGTAAAACTGTCAGATCCACATCTAAAAATGTTGGTAATAAAGATGTAGAATCCATTTTTCTAAAAAAAGAATAAGTGCAAATTAGCTTCTAATAAATGGCTATAAATATTACATGAAATGAGTCATATAAAGTTGGTAAGTATATATAAAGCATCAAGATAATTCCATATTTGCTTTTACATTATTTGGGGGTAATTGAAACATACATGACATAGTATGTGGATAGAGCTCAGAGGACAACCCATGGACATCAAACTCAGATCATCAGGCCTGGTGGCATGTGCCCCTATTCACTCAGTCATCTCACCAGCCCTCGTTTTTTTAGTCATATCAAACATGTTGGCAAAATCTGTATGCACTAGGCAAAATGGTGTCGGCATAAACAAGATGTTGCTGAGATAAACACTATTTACACATCAGAAAATTTCACTACCATAACAAGACAGGATAGTGTAGATAATTATTGGAATACAAAGAGATAATCCTTACTTTCCAGAAAACTTACAAAACTTCTACTAGAGAGTAGATGTGGTATAATGGAAAAGGTAAATCAGACTCACTAGTGACCTCATTTTCCTGGGAAAAAAACAACCTTCCTATGGGGCTTCTAATAACCAACAATTCAAAGAGATGAAAGAAGAAAAGAGGGGCAGATGGAAGTCAATGAGGAGACAGTTTGCACTCTTTCTCTAGTGTTAACTTGTGGTACTCAGACCCCACCAAAACCATTACACAGTCCCAAGGTTATTCAATGATTGGCAGGCAATTCGCTGAGGTTTAAATGCCACTAAAGTAGAATAATCCTGGGAAGACAGTGAAGCCTGGCTATACCTAACCCTCGAAAACCTAGCCACAAAAAAGAAAAAAAAAATGTTGAGCCATGAGAAATAACCACTTCTATTTTGATCTCCAGATTTATAGGATTCTAAAAATGATAAAATAAATATGCAGAAGTTTAAAGTACTCTCAGTGCTATAGTTTGAATTTAAAGTGTACCCCCAATATGGTACATGTGCTGGATATTATTACACTATTATTATCACAGCTTGTTTCTCAACTGGTGGGACAAGTTGATTGATAGCCCATCCTTCCAGTATCCCACCACCTTTACTTGGTATCCAAAAAGGGACCCAGCAGAACTCCTTTGTCAAATCTAAATATCTTGTGAATAGTATTAGCCAATCCAAGCCCAAAGACACAAGTAGTATGAACACATTTCTAAAACACCAGAGGTCTATTCCTCCAGACCATTATCCCTTCAGACATTCCAAGTACTCTTACAAACCTGCTTTACACCAGTGGGAAAAAAAAATCTAAGCCTGGTTTACCCATGGCTCTCATCTAAAGCCAGTAACATGCCAAAATAGATTGCTGAAGAATTACACCCAAACCTGGTAGGGAGTTTCCCTAAGAAATCAATGGAAATCTTAACAGTAGACAAACATGGTTTTATTACATCTGCTTTATATGAATAAAAAGTTGTTTAAGTTGAAGATATGTGCAGATCCATGGGCAATAGCTAATGGTGTCCAGAGGGCAACAGGAAGATGTATCACAAAGAGGTGCAAATAAGTGATTTGCAGATGAATTCTCAACAAACACCCACACTGTGGAAGACATTCTTCATAGTGTAAACACAATCTGTGCTATGGATGTCCATCAGCCTCCTACACCTGCCTCCCCAAAGCTTGCTCAGTGGGACCATGAAGCAAGTTCCTGTGTTGTGGACAAAAGTCATACCTTCCTGCATCTACTGACCAACTAAAACAAAGAACACATTCAGGAAAAAATAAGGTAGGATCTCAAAAGCAAATTGATTATTTTATACAATGAACAGCTGTGTCATTTCCAGATCTGACCCTTACTCTGTGTTAGAGGGACATCACTTACTATGGTGTTGGAAGTGCACTAAGGTAAACACAACTCAGACATCAGGTTTCACTTGGACCTCAAGTAGTGGTGTGAAATCTGACAAACTTGTTTTTGCTTCTAATCAAACTCTAAATCTATGAAATGAGATTTAATTAAGTTAGGGCTTTTTCAGCAGAAAGTCATTAAAGATAAAAACATTAAAACATCTATAAAATGTATTCATTGGTATTCTAATAATCTCAAGTTTATAAAATTTAATTGTAAAATCATCAAATAAGAATACAATCATTCTAATGAACACACATTCACATAATGTGTCTTATTATTGCATCCCAAACCACAATATTGAAAATATCAAGTTTATACATTTCTAATTGCACATCTGCTTCTACAGTCATGTGTCAAGCAATACAGGAAAATGCAAATAAAACATATGAGGGAGTCTAACTTAGATAGTCCATGAGTTCATCACATGGACTTGTGTCCTCTACTTTAAAACTTAGTATACATTTCATATTCTGGTTTTGTAAAGTTAATTTCCTCTACATTTTTTAATTTCATTCAAATTCAAGGCTCAAAATCTTGAAGTGATTTTATACTAAAATTTATAGTATCACAGTTCCTTTAGGGTTTGAGAAAAATGTTATATGCACTGTGTGTGTGTGTGTGTGTGTGTGTGTGTGTGTGTGTGTGTGTGTGTGTTATCAAAGCAGAAGCAGGGATTATTTGGGAGGGAAGGAAGCCATCAAGAATGAACTAAATCGATGGCAGAGAACTGTAAAGGAGGATAAAAAACAACAAAGTATATTCCTAAATATGTATAAAATTGTTGCAACAAAATATAATTTGTACACTAAATAAAAGTTATTTTTAATTAATATAGAGTTCTTCCTATACTAAATTTCCCTAAATCTATAGGATACGTTATAGATGATGTCACTCATTTGAGTTTGCCTGCTATGGATTAGTATCAAGTTAAATCTTCCAGTAGGGCCAAATGAACACATAACTGAGCCATATTTCTAATCATTAGTACTATAGTTGCTTTAAACAAAAGGGATATGGATTTGTTTTGGTTTTCACTTTCTTAACTTCATTGAGATAAAATTTATATATCATAAAATTGGCCATTTTCAAGACAGTAACCCGAGATTCAGTACATTCCTGGTATTATGCAATCACTGCTTCTAGCTAGTTCCCATACTTCTTGTCACCCCAAAGAATACCACATACCCTTTAGGCAATATCTCCCATTATATACCATATTCCTGGAAACTCCCAATTTTCTATACATATAGGTTCTTTTCCCCTGGATACTTCATCTCTGTGGAATCTTGCAATACGTGGCATTTCATGACAGGCTTCTTTCATTCAGCATAATGTTTCAGAGATTACATGTGCTGTTGTAGCAAGTATTGGGACATGTTTTTTCCTATTTTTAACCTGATGTTATTCCTTTCTGTGTATATGCAAGGTGTGGTTTTCTTTTTTAATATTTATATTATTATTTGGCAGTAATAGAACTTGAAGTCATGTGAGGCAAGTGCTCTCACACACAGCTACAGTCTCCACTCCATTATTTTAGTTTTGTGACTTAGCATACAAAAATGATGTCATTCTGCTTTTTCTAGTTTATCCCCTTCTTTCTTCTTCTCCCTCCCCCAGGCCTCCTGATCCTCTCCAGCCCCTCCAGTTTCCTTCTTCCCCTCGGATAATCCCCTCTGCTACTGTCACATCAGGATTCCTTTTCCTCTCATTTTAACCTCTCCCCAACATCTTCCTTCCCTCTTGAGATAGATCACCTTTCTAGTTTCATGACCTACACACACATACACACAGAGGTGGGGTGTGCATGGCATTTTTCCCTCATGGGTTTCATAGTGTTTCTTTACTGTATGCTTTTGACATTTGACTAGAGTATGTCATGGACACATTCTCTGCCCATGTCTATCTTGAGTTTCTAAGTACCTCATGTGTTTGGATGCCTGTTTCTTGAGACCTGGAGAATTTTCTGCCATAATTTCACTGAATAGATTCTGTTTGCCTTTAGTGTAGACCTCAGTTCCTCCTTCTATTCCATGGATTCTCGGTTCAATCTCTTGATTATATCACAATTTGGGGATATTGTGCTCATTGTCATTTGTTTTATTTGTTTTCCTTACTGATGTCTGAATATAATATTTCAGTGACCTTGTCATCCACTCTCAGCCATTCTGCTTGGTTAAGGTTACCAGTGATGGTCCCCACTGTACGATTACTTGATTCGCTGAGGTTTATGATTTCCATGCAATCCTTTAGGGTTTTTTTTTTTTCTCAGTGCCTTTGCCAACATTTCTGCTCATATTGGTGAATTTCTCATTCGTGTTCAGATGTTTTCTTCAATGCAGTTAATTTTTCTCTCCAGGCCCCATATTGGATCCATCTGTTTGTTTGTATCCTCTTTGTATTGTTGACCATTTTTGTCAGAAACCTTTCAAACTCTTCATCTGGTATTTTAGCATGTTTCAATGTCTTTTAGTTGCACAGTTGAAGACTTAATGATCTTTTAGAGGAGACGTGTTCTACTACTGCCTTTTACTGCTTCTTGTGTGTCTTTGTAGGAATGTGTACAACTGCTGGTTTGGGAGTCTCCAGTCTTCCTTGGATATGATCCCACTGAGCATGATGCTCCAGAAAGCTCTGTCTCCAGTAACATTCAGCAAAGAGAAGATAAACTTTGGAAACTGCCTCTGCTTCTCACCCCGCCCCACAAGAATCCACATGACCGGGCTGTTTGGCTTCCCTCCTTCCCTCCACTGTGCTGTGCATCTTTCTCTGGACATTTGCAGGTATCTCGTTACTTACTTCGTTTATTTCTGAAGCTCCTCTCTCTTTGGATTATAGAATAGATCTTCTTATTCTAAATCTCTCTCCAGTCCACACAAAAGCAGCTTCTAGCCCACCATCTTAACCCTTCAGGAATGAAATTACTTTGAGCTTAATATGTAGTCAATATAAAAGTATTAATTCTTGGTTTCTTTTTTTAAACGTGAGTCTTCAAATCATATTATTTTACACATATGTCTCCATTCAGACCAAGAACAGTTCGAGCACTTGTAGGATGTGTGTACCTAGAGGTCCCGGGGTCTATATTCTGAAGAGTGTAGGCTAAAACCTATTCCCATTTTGTTTTTCCTGAGCTTA